GAAGATCCATTTTATGCCAATTATTGATCTGTCCGAGGGTCTTGGCACCAGATGCCAAACTTGACTCCTTTCAAATTGGTTGAGTTCATCTTGCATTGCATTTACCCAGTCTGCATCCTACAAAGCCTCAATAACATTTTTAGGTTCAATAAGAGATAAGAAAGCATCAAAAGCACAAAGATTCTTTAATGGAGATCTGGTTTTGATTCCAAAGGTTGAATCAGTAATTATGTTCTCAATGGGATGAGAACTTTGATAATTGTAAGGTTTCACAACCAACTGGTTTCCCCTTGATGTTCCTTCAATGCTTTGTTATTGTGGAACACGTTCATGGACAGGTTCCCTTGAGGTTTGAGAATCATTTCCCCTTTGTTCTATTCCCCATGTCAGGTTGCCCTAGGTAGAAGGACCTGTTCCATCACCTGTTTCTTATTCCAGTGTAGCTTCAGTTTGGGCTGTGGTTTCATTTAAGTTTCTTACCAGCCCAATTGCTTCATCATCATGTTTCTGTCTCTCAGAAAGAATGTTAGTTTCATCAAAAACCACATGAACACTTTCTTCAACACACATAGTTCTTTTGTTATATATCTTATATGCTTTACTATGTGAAGAATATCCCAAGAATACTCCCTCATCACTTCTGGGATCAAACTTACCTAGGGAGTCCTTATCATTGTTGTGCACAAAGAACTTGCATCCAAATGCCCTAAGATGTGATATATTTGGTTTTCTCCCTTTAAGTAACTCATATGGAGTTTTCTCAACAAGAGGTCTAGTCATGCACCTATTTATGATGTAGCATGCAATATTTACAGCTTCTGCCCAGAAGCTATGGGACAGTTTACTAGAAAGAAGCATAATTCTAGCCATATCTTCAAGTGTCCTATTCTTTCTTTCAACTACTCTATTTTGTTGTGGAGTCCTAGGAGCAAAAGAATTATGATCTATGCCATGCTCATCACAAAATTCAGCAAATTTAGCATTTTCAAATTCAGTGCCATGATCAGACCTAATTGATGCAAGTTGATTACCTAGTTGTTTCTGAGTTTTTCTAACAAAAGAAGTGAACATGTCAAATGCTTCATCTTTAGATGTCAAAAATAATGTCCAAGTAAACCTAGAGTAATCATCAACAAGCACCATCACGTATCTTTTACCACCTCTGCTTAATGTTCTCATTGGACCACAGAGATCCATATGAACCAGTTCCATCGTCCTGGTGGTACTTACCACTTTCTTGCATTTAAAAGAGGATCTCACCTGCTTCCCCCTTGCACAAGCCTCACAAACTTTGTCTTCCTTGAGCTTGATGTTAGGCAGTCCTATCACCAAGTCCTTGAAGAGTAATTTGTTGAGTTGACTCAGACTTGCATGTCCAAGTCTGTTGTGCCAAAGGAGGGGATCATTGTCCAATACACTTAAGCAAGTGAGTTTATTTTCTGACACCATGGACAGATCTACAATATATATATTGTTCACTCTTTTTCCCTGCAAAATAATCTTGTCAGTGATAAGATTAATCACAAAGCATTTATTAGAGGTGAATGCTACCAAGTTACCTCTATCACACAGTTGTGATACACTAATTAGACTGTATTTTAGGCCGTCTATCAAATAGACATTCTCAATCAAGTTAGAGTCAGTCTTACCTACCTTACCAACCCCAATGATCTCACCTTTATTCCCATTTTCAAAGGAGACATTACTTCCTTTGAGGCCCTCAAGTGAAAGGAACTGGTTCTTGCTTCCTGTCATGTGCTTTGAGCAACCACTATCCATGTACCATTTTTGGATGCTACCCTTCACTTGGACCTATAAAAGGAAATCAGGGGTTAGTCTTAGGAACCCAAACTAGTTTGGGTCCCTTTCTATAGGCAAAAGGATGAATCAAATTCTTTTTAGCCCAACCTGGCAACCTATTTTTCCCTTGAACAAACCTTTTACTCTTTTGACTAGCCATTCTTTTACAGTGCATTCACTTTTATAGTGACCAGTCTTACCACAGTGTGTGTAAATTTTGTTCTCAGGAAGAGTGAGGTACTTGCTTTTAGGATCCCACTTAGGTAGCTGATTCCCAAAGCCAAGTCCTCTTCTATTGCTACTGTGATGTTCTTGTAGCCATGACAAAGCATCGGAGGACCTGTTCCATTTACTAGTTCTGTCTAGTTCATGCTTGACCTTGCCTAGATCCCCCTTTAGCACTCTTACTTGCTCATCCTTCCTATACAACTCGTCTTTCAGTTTGCCTACATTTTCTTCTAAAGTGAGTTGTGTGCAATCAGCTGTCTTCTTACTGGTTCCTAGTTTCAGTTTTAGATTTTCAGATTTTAACTCAAGAACATTTGCTTCAAATGTATGAACCTGGTTCTTCAGAGCAGTATTTTCACTCACAATCTCACTAACTCTGAGTTCCAGGTTCTTACACTTTGCTTTTAAAATCACACAATCCTTATACAATTGTTCTTTTTCTTTATTTATTACCTCAGATTCATCAATGAAATCTAGCAATAATTCAAAGTTTTTCTTTAGACAAAAACTTAATCTTGTCTTTGAGATGAATTATACTTACCTAAGATTCCTCATCTAATTCTCCAATTGCCATAAGTGCTTTTTCATCACCATCTTCATCATCTGAACTTTCTCCTCAAGCAGCAACCATAGCCTTTGTTGATCCTTTGTTCTTCTTGGGATGAACCTGTTCCTTTTCCCTATTCCTTCGTTCAGATATTTTCTTCTTCCATTCAATTTCCCATTGAGGGCAGTTCTTGATGTGATGATCAGTCTTCCCACACTTGTAGTAACCCTCATTGGTCGTTTTTTCAGGAACCCTTGCTTTGTTGTAATTTTCACCTCTTGAAGAACCTTTTACTCTCATAAGGTAATTCTTGAAGTCCTTGGTAATCATAGCCATTTCATCTTCCTCTAGATCAGAACCTTCAGTGATTCTGAGTGCCATGTTCCTTTCCTTCTTGGGTACATCCATCTTCATGGTTTGCCTTCTAAGTTCATAAGCAATGAGATTTCCAATTAGCTCATCCAACCTAAGAGTGGCAATGTTTTTTGATTCCTGATTAGTAGTGATTTTGCTCTCCCGTGAGACTGGCAGAACCCTTGTCAAAATCTTCTCAACTTTGTATTCTTCAAGAATAACCCTTCCAAGAGACTTAAGTTTATTTGTAAGTGTGGTGAACCTTGTATACATCTCTTAGATGGTTTCTCCTTCCTTCATAGTAAGATTCTCATATTGAGAATATAGTAACGTTCCTCTGGACCTCTTCACCTGAGGTGTTCCTTCATGAGCCACTTGCAAAGTGTCCCAAATTTTCTTAGCAGTAATATAGCTTTGAATTCTGTTGTACTCGTCTGGACCGAGTCCACACACAAGCCATTTCTTGGCTTTAGCATTCTTCTCCCATTTCCTCAAGTCGTCAGTAGTGTAGTCAGCTCTTGTTTTAGGCACCTCTTCTCCTTCGGCATTTATCTTCATCAATGGACCATCTGTGACAGTGTCCCATAGCTCATAGTCTTCTCCTATGATGTGGTCTCTCATTCTGATTTTTCACCAGGAGTAGTACTGGCCATTGAAGAGTGGTGGCCTAGCAGTGGATTGCCCTTCCTAGTTTCCAGGTGGTGCACTCATCTTGATCTTCTCCTAAGGTGTTAGCCTCTTCAAGGATAACCTGCTTTGATACCAATTGATGTTTTATACGTCAATACCACACAAGAGGGGGGTGATTTGTGTGGTGTCCAATTTTTCGCGTGCACAGATTATAGAAGGATCTGGTTCTTCTATGTGTTCCAACTACTACTGTTGCGTAATAATAAGTACAGAAAATAAAGAACACAGAGATTTTTACGTGGAAAACACATGGCTCAAAAGGTGGAAAAACCACGACCTACTTCCTAGTAGGATTTTCCCAAACTCTCCACTAAATCACTGAGCCAAAAACTGCATTTACAAAACACTTTTGTAAACCTAGGATTAACTCTAATTCCTTTGTAGCAAACTAGCCTCTAGCTATTTGCGACAAACTTCAAGTTAACTCTAACTTGAAAACACAAAGTACCTATTACAGATGCTTCTAGATAAAGCAAAAAAGGTACAAGTTAAAACCACCTACTACAAATAACTAGACTAAAAGACAATAGTTGGGACTGGTTCTTCTAGCTGGTTCAAGTAGTGTCAGATTCGCACATTCAAATATCACTCGAACTGCTTGCAAAATTGCCTCGTTATTTTGCTCTCAATTCTTGCTTAACTTCTGCTTTTGTGTATATTCTGTAGAATGAGAACTTCCTGCGATTTATAGAGTTTAGTAGAGTAGAAAACAACTAGAATTCTAATGCTACTCTTCCTTGGTGGAAGAGTTCTAGTTAATCTCAACTCCTAACTCCTTCCTTATATTGGATAATGTTCTCGTTGAGTAAGGAGTCCTTCTCCTTATCAATTATGCAACCCTTTTCGATCAGGAGATATCTATTATTATGACAGATTTCGTTTATCTCCTGCATGTGCATCTCACGTGCTTTGAATCTGCCCGTGTCTATGCCTACCAGTGATGGACCTGGTTCATCCCTGAGTTCTTTTGTCAATCTTCAAAACTATCCTTTATTTGGGCCAACACTACCATAGAAATATAGAATCAAGATGTTCTAAAATTCCTCTATTTTTTGGACTTTGCCATAAACCTAAGCTTAAATCATTACCAATATTTCCATGTGCCATAAGCTTTGGTATCCTCACCACCACGTTCAACTCACATGTATGCTTGTAGCACATAGTAGTACTATTTTCTTTCTTAACTTCTTTCCCCACCTCCTCATACCCCGCCCTTTATGCTTATGGAGTAAGTCATGATAAATATTGCTACTCTACGTTTCTGACATAAAAAAGATTGTTTAATATACTAACTTTAATTACAAAAATTAACATTAATTAAAAGCCATGCACTTGTGTCTACTAATTCCTTAGACCCTCCCTCAATAAGTACCTCCAACTTCCTCCTTACTCTCCATTGGCGCCTAAAACCCTATTTGCATTTCTCCATTTCATATCCAGCTCTCTCCATCTCTTTTTCTTCTTCTCTCTGTTCACACAGATATAACATCTTCAGTCTAGAGCAGTGACAGTGAGAAAAAATGGCTATAATTTGGACGCTTTGCATTGCTAGTCTTCTTTCTTTTTTGACGGGCGCTAACGCAAAGGTCCCCGGTGTTTATACCAGTGGACCCTGGGAGAGCGCCCACGCCACCTTTTACGGTGGTGCTGATGCCTCCGGCACAATGGGTACGTATCTGTAATTATTTTTTAGGTAACCTGATTTACACAGTGTATAAAGTTAAACTCATATCCGTATTTTTTTCTTCTTTCCCAACAGGTGGTGCGTGTGGGTACGGGAATTTGTACAGCGCAGGATACGGAGTGAACAATGCAGCATTAAGCACTGCACTTTTCAACAATGGGCTGAGCTGCGGTGCTTGCTTTGAGATAAGGTGCACCGATCCGAAATGGTGCACCCCTGGGAACCCGTCCATATTTGTAACGGGTACAAACTTTTGTCCGCCAAACTATGCTTTGCCTAATGATAATGGAGGGTGGTGCAACCCACCTCGTCCTCATTTCGATCTTGCCGAGCCTATGTTCCTCAAATTCGCTCAGTATCGTGCTGGCATCGTCCCCGTAACCTACCGTCGGTAAGTTGCACCGTCAAACTTACGGCCTAAATATGTTACTATAATATTTGTTTGGTTATAAAACTTCAAAAACTTGTCGTTTTAAGCATGTATGTACTGTGTGGCCACAAACGCATGTATTGAGTGTACAATATGAAGTTCAAGTTAAATTCTTTTCAAATTTAGAAAGATGTCATTCTATTTAATAAGAAATAGTGTCTTTATCATCGGGATAAATTCTCCGATTTTCAAGAATTTTCGTGTATGTAATGTAATATGTTAAGGGTTTTCCTGTCGTTTAACTAACCATAGCTAACTGGATGGTGTTTTGGAGTTACACTATTACTGGCGGATCTAAGATTTTAAAGTCATGAGTGCTCGTCGAAAAGAGTTTCGAAAAAAGACAATAAAAAGATTAACTATAGGTGCTCACTCATTACTTATCTAAATTTTCTGCTAATTGCCTATGTAAATATACTAAATCCGAATAAAGACAATGGATGCTTGAGCACCCATAACTCTGTATGTAGATCCGCCATTGTCTGCTAATTTTTCCTCTTACGGGTAGTAGCTAGAGGAAATGACTACTTTAGCGTCAAGTTGTCTTACGTAGTGGGTTGGCTTAAGTTAGACTTAAGAGTCGGGACTCGCTCACTATTTTTAAATTAAAATTCTTCTATTTATATTAATATTAATTGGCACTTATCACCAACAAACACTAAATAGAATAACAATAGTATTATTTAAACATTTTAAATTCACATCTCATTATAGTTTTGTCACCTATTCACATGCTACAGCTACATCTTGCAGGTAGTTAAATTTGTCCAATTAATAGACGCGGTTTTGGTACGATTAATCTGATGCGCTTTTCTTGTATAAATTTATTCAATTAGTTGTAGTCAATTATAACATGCTACATATTTTATCTCACTCCCCCATTTAACTATGAGAAATTAATATGGTGTGATGCATTCATCGAGCTCGAATACAATGGGTAGCTCGGTGCACAAAGTGTCATGCAAGTACGAGGAAGGGCTCCACCCCACCAGGTGTGATGTAGTGCTTTCACGACTAGAACCCGTGACCTATAGGTCACACGGAAATAACTTTATCATTGCTCTAAGTTGTCTCCAACGAGCTCGAATATATAATATTTTTTTGCTCTTAATGTTGCCTAAAAGTAGAGCATTTTGTAGTTAAAATTCTCCACTAACAATTTTCCTAACTATTTTGGTCAAATAACAGGGTTCCATGCAAAAAATCAGGAGGAATCAGATTCACAATCAATGGTTTTAATTACTTCAACATGGTAATAGTGACCAACGTGGCAGGTGCAGGTGACATTCAGAAAGTTTTCGTAAAAGGTACAAACACAAAATGGATGGCTATGAGCCGTAATTGGGGCCAAAACTGGCAATCCAATGCTCAGCTTGTTGGTCAAGCTCTCTCCTTTAAAGTCAAAGCCAGTGACCATCGCTATGTTACCACATACAACGTGGCACCATCTAATTGGCAGTTTGGCCAGACTTATGAGGCCAAAAATTTCCGAGTTTAACTTAAAATATTGAGTTGAATACTATCATTACAAAAAAACAAAAAAATAAAAAAATTACTTTTCTTTAGTTTCATATACTAAGTATACCATTTTCTCCACCTTCAGTTTTTCTCTTTTTTAACGGGAAAGATTTTTGGTATATGGGGAAGTAGTTTCGTTTTACATTTTACTATTTTAGTAATGATGTATAAGTGCTGGTAAAAGAAAGTTAAAGCCAGCCAAAAGGGGAAATGGGAAGGTTTATATATAGAGGCTGATGCGGCTGCAGAAGGATCGAAATTAGGACAAAAATGTAGCCCGCAGCTCTATTATATTTGCAATTATTTCTATTGACTTATATGTAATGGAATTATATATTGTCTATGAATATGAATATCACAAATTGTCCTTTTTAATTTTTAGATACATTTGGTGATGTTTCAATTTATTTCTGGAGTAGTTATTTGTTTGCCTTTGAATATAATGTTAATTTTCTGAAGTCGTTTGGTTTATTAATCAGTGGTATATAGTAATATGAAATAGTAGCTAAAACTAATTCAACGAATGGCCATGGAAGTGAAAAAGGGCAGTCCGGATTCCGGTGTACTAAGTTCCCTCTATGCGGGGTCCGGGTAAGGGCCAGACCACAAGGATGTATTGTACGCAGCCTTACTCTGCATTTCTGCAAGAGGCTGTTTTCACGACTAGAAGCTTTGACCTTCTGATCACATGACAACAACTTTACCAATTACGCCAAGGTTCCCACTTGCCTTGCCATGGGAGTGACTATTTATGAATAAGTCTTTTTCCCTGCCTTCTTTTGCTGGAGGTGATATGTTTAGTATTTTGCAAGCCCAAATTCCTTGTGCAGTATGTCATATGTTTGGTACAATTTTAAATAATAATCATTTTACAATTCTTCCATTCAAAAAGTGCTACATTCTGTTGGAATTTTTAGTATTGATTTAATATTTTCGCTTATACCGTTTACTATAACCCTCCATCTCCATTTCAAGGACCATGATACAAAATACAAGAGGAATTAAATAATAAGATTTTAAACAGGATACTAACATTGTAGCTAAAGTTGACTCTAGGTCGTTCGAGCCGTGAAATCTGTTGGGATATACTATTAACTATGTGGTTTAGACATAGTGTTGTGTTTTATTCTTTATGAAACAATTGTTTATTTGATTTATTCAATTCAATAAAGTACTATTTTAAATAGATCATTTGTTACATGTGTGTCCTTTAGTTATGTAGTAGATAATTTAGTGTATGGAGTCTTAGCTCATGCACAAAAGATTAAATTGTATGTTCTCATAATTAATAAATTATGTTCACAATCGAAGATATTATTGGGCAAAATATATTTGATGATTGTAGCACAAGATTAAAGTATAATTTGTCTTGATTATGGGTGTGGTTTTACTCCGACTTCTTGTGCTAGTATACTTGGTGTATATTGAACGGACCAAGTAGAGAAAATGTGTCTTTGTACTGAATATATATAAAACATTTTCTCCAATTCATTAAATGAACTTATACTCCTAATCTTGATATAATTATTAAGATCAATGTGATTTGTTTATTGTTTTGATTTATCAAAAGGTACAACTCTATTCAGAGTTAGCGTATGCCTAATAGATTGGACAATAACGAATAACATTTGTGAAATAATAATTAATTGATAGAATTCATGACTCGGTTTTGAGTTTGATAATACCCCTTTTATGTAAGCTTTTAAGTTTTCATGTGAAAACCTGGGCGGTGGATTTTATATCCGTCACATGAAATAGTTTAAGCGGAATTATAAAGGATTTAATTAGTGATTAAATTAAATAGTCAGTGATTTAATTTAATTTAATTAACTGGTATTTGTGATCTTAACACGGGGAGTTAAAATAAGTGTTAGTGAATTTTTGAAATTCATATTGAGGAGTTCAATTGCAGTTTTTTAGTGGAATAAACTGTAATTAATTATAGTAGGAATTAATTCATCCAAATTTTATTGGTAGCCTCTTATTGTTCTGTGGTCCCTACTATACCTTGGACAGACTTGGGTAAAAAGTGCCTTGGGAGAAAAGTCATCATTTGGAGTTAGAGTAGGATTCTACTTGCAAAAGCAGAATCCTACACATTTTTAGCCCCCCTTTTGGTTGAAATTGGGGTCTACTTAAGCAAGACATTTTTCACTCAATAACTCACTTTTAGAGTTGTATTGTTTTTGCCCACTCAAAACAATTTCGTCCAAGGTCTTACTAGGAGCATAGCAGAAGACTACAACCCTGGATTCTTGCTCTGTGGAGGACCTGTGCAACGTTTTTAAGAGGTTAGTGCTTCTAATCTCGTAATTATATCATTATCTAGTTTACATGTTTGTGATACTTGGGTTATATGCTTGCTTCCGTTGCGCATGTTCTAACAGAATCAACCATTAATATTTGCATCAGAGTAGGTTGCCTAATCACGCCCATTGAGGTCCAGCCCGTCCCCGGACCCTGCGTGAACGCAGCATGCTTTGCGCGACAGTCTGCCTTTTTTACTAACATCGTAGCTAAGCTACGAATAAACTAAACGCCTAGACCTCCAGCTCTGGCTCAAGGTTCCCACTTCCCAGTTGATTAACATACACTAAACAAATAAGAGTAACCGAATCCGGGAATTTACAGCAAATATTGTACCTCCAAGGAAAAACAAACACTGCTTGCAATTCCTCCTACAGCTAGCTCCTCATAAATCTGTAGTTCAACCATGATCCAAAAAAAGAGTAAAGACAAGCTGTACATATTAGTGGAAGACATTTTCTTAGTTATATGCCAGAAGTTCTTGAGCTAAAGAATGCTAGTAACTAGCATACCAAGAACTTCCTTTCCTTCTTTTATATGGAAAGAGAAGGTGAAGGTCTTGGATACTTTGTCTTTCCCGGGGTCTCTTCTGCACCGCTTCTGCAGGATTTCTTGAGTGCAAAACTTGATTGACTCTGCTGATTAACCTGTCGACTTTTTTTATCATTTTTCGCTAAATCCTTGGACTCTTGAAGCTGTTCTAGAGCTGTTACCACTTCATCCATTGTTGGCCTCGACTTGGGGTCCATCGACAGGCATTGAACAGCTAGGTTAGCAACCTTTATGGCACGATTGAGTAAATATTGTCCTTCAAGACGGCTGTCTAGAACCCTGAAAACTCTACGTTTGTTGGTCAAATAAGGTTTTGCCCACTCAACAAGATTATGTTCCCCCGTGGGTCGATTCTTGTCTATTGCTTTCTTACCGGATAGAATTTCTAACAGAACTACCCCGAAGCTGTATACATCACTCTTTGCAGTAAGATGGCCTTCCAAACAAAGAGAAAATTGATCAGCTTAGAAAGTGGTCGCGTTATGACAAGTACCAATCTGTGACCGGCTGACCACTTAGGAAGATGGAAACAACCTAGTCCAAGATTGTACTTTTTCAGAGCATGAACATTTTTATACACAACATTAGGTTAAACTAAATGTAAGTGCAGTTCATTCAATTCAAACTAAATTAAATTTATTAAGAAAAACTGTTCATCCATTATAATACTCTCTTCTATTTCAAATAAACTCTGAATCCAGATAACAATAAACAGGACGAGATGAGTAGATAAGAATGTAGAAGTTCTTCATCCACAGTAGAAACTGAGCCGCGTAAAAGGAACCAAATAGTACCATAATTAATGAACTTGGAAAGCATGAAGACAAACCTGTAGATAGATACTCTGGAGCAGCATATCCATAAGTTCCCATAACCCTAGTAGACACGTGGCTCTGATCACCAGTCGGACCATCTCTGGCCAACCCAAAATCAGAGAGCTTGGCATTGTAGTCCTGTCGATGTAAAACGTAAAATTGAGTGCAATAAACAAGTATCTAAAAACATGGAAAAGGCTTCGACACCACCCTTGCTTTAAGAGGACGGACAATGTAAAGTGACCCTTTGAAATGATATTCACATACCGAGTCCAGCAGAATATTAGAAGTCTTGAAGTCTCTATAGATAACTTTAGTTTCAGCATTATGAAGAAATGCAAGGCCTCTTGCAGCGCCAAGCGCAACTTTCATACGAAGGCTCCAAGAAAGTGGTTGGTAGTATGAACCTCCTGAGTCAAATAAAAATCCTCGTATGATCTAGGATTCCACAGGCTTGTTCAGATGAACATTAAATAATTACACAGGTGGAAGTATATTAAACAGATGCAGAACTCACTCCTGAATAGATGATTCTCCATGCTACCCTTAGGCATGAATTCATAGACCAAGAGCCTGTGATCCTCCTCTAAGCAATAACCGATCAATTTAACAAGATTTGGATGATGTAGTTGCCCTAGATAATTTATCTCAGCCTGCAAATTGGTAAGGTCGAGAACATAAGGTACCTTGCTTTTAATAAGTGCATTCATTTCACATTTGTAGCAAATTATAAATTGGGACTGTCGACTAGATGCAAATCAAGTCATCCTGTTCATCACGATTTTATTGATCAGATTTTTTCCCCCCTAATCTGTATATGGGGTTACATTTCGAAGTCCAGAAACAAATATCTTTACAGAATAAACCTTGCAAGATAGGAAATGTGCACAACAAACTTCCCAAGAGATGCGAAATGTTTTTATGAAAACATTATTCCATATGCTGAGCAACTCGAAGTAGAAGACTCGACTCACCAGCCATTCCCTGTGGCCCTGCCACCCTTCTTGGTTTAACTTTTTGACAGCTATCACAATCCCAGTGCCAGGCTTTGATGCTGCAAGAGTATGCTCGTCGACCCAGCCTTTGAAAACTGAACCAAAACCTCCTTCTCCTACTACGCTATCAGGACGGAAGTTTCTAGTAGCTGCTCGGAGTTCACTGAAAGTGTAGCTCCTCAAGTTGGAAGATTGCAAGATCTCACCCTCACTACGAGGAGTTGGTGGTATGGAAGCTGACGAGCGTTTGCTATTCGAATTACTAGTCTCGGTACCATTTCCACTGGCATTTCTTGAATCCAACCCTAAAAGAAGACATTTACATCGCAATCAAAAGACAGAAGAAAATGAAATGAAGATGCATATCCAAAAATAAAAAACAATTACTACTACTAATCTTCAAGCCCAAACAACTTTCCATACATAAAACAAAAACCTCTTTTTGAGATGTAAAACAAAAACAGAAACTTTTCCAGAGATACTATTAGTGATCTTTGAAGCACAATCAAATGTAACCTTCTTTGCAGTTTGCAAATAAATGATACTCGGGCAAGAGGCGGAACCACGATTATAACTTTATGGGTTATGAATTTTAGAAGGACGACTTCAAATGCTAATAATTGGGTTCTTAATTTAAATATTTGTACTTATTTAGTGAATTTTGTAACACAAATATACTGTTTGAGCAAAAACTATTGTATTCGGCCGAAAC